GACAATAATTAATTGATATAGAGAAAACACAAAATAAAAAAAATAATATGTTCTCTGGATTAAGTTATAAAGTATAATGAACATTACTTGAGGAACGATACATCGGGGGAAAAAATGGGGGTGGGGGGAATAACTCTCAAGGTGGAAAAAATATGTGGGGAAAATTAGCAGATGGCAAGTAGCCACCGCCATTTAGCGCTTTATTCTATAAAACCTCCATGTGTAAAAGTGAAGACTCAAACCAACTCGACTTTGAGTCTACTAAATTATCCAGGCTAATTCAAGCCTTCCAGGGTTTTTCAGATATAGCTAGAACTAACTTGATCATCATTGGCGTTTTTTGATAGCAGGTTAACTTTTTTTTTAGATTTCAGTGGGTTAACCCGACTCAAAGACAAGCTTGCGTACAAACCTAGCATGCACGTTTTCATCTTCTATACAATAGGAGCCATGTTCACACGCATGATCTTTTCTTACAATTAAACATCAAAATTTAAAGTAGAAATTTTGAAAACAATGACAAATAAAAAACAGTTTCTCCCAAAGCACATAGATTTCTCTTTATATAAAGTTGAAACTAGTACAAAAACAAATTCTTTTGTATTTAAAATTACTTCTGTTCCTACAGCTTAGTAAGGCATGCTCGAGATTTGATTTTTCCCCGACGACCTTGTTGGAAATTTCCCGACAGGGGGTCCAGAGGTCCCCGACGGTGGTCCTTTGCCCCTCTGGACCCCCTCTAGCGCCATCCCTGCGTCTTTTACTAATTCAAAATGTCTAGGTCAGTTTCAAGTTTATAGAGAAAGGTGGTTTTTTTTTCTAGTAAATACCAATATATTTCATAATGGTGAATAGTGTATTCTCCAATCCATTTTGTCGAAGGCTTTTTGCCGAGAACTCAACAAAACAAAAGCCACAAACATCTCTTCCCAAACTCATTCTCCTATACTAGTAGAAAGAGAATGAGAATAAGGAAGGGGATGATGATCATGATGATAGGGGGGAGGGTGGTGGTGAGGTTGAGAATAGGAACGAGGATGATGATTGTGGTTGATGATGAGATGGTTTTGATGATTGGGGTGATTGTGATTGTGATGATAATGATTGTTAAGATGATGATGATGCTGTATAATCATCCTGCAGCAGCAATGATGATACAAAAAAACAAAAATAAACAATAATGAATTAATCATATATAAGTATATTGTATATTATATGTATGTGTGTGTGTATATATATATAGGTAATAGGTACAGTTTTTAACAATAGATTTTTGTTACCGTCAAATGGATACACTGTGTTCTTTGATAGATCCATAAGTCGACTGGGGAGGATATTTGTAGTAAAAGACTGCAAATCAAGAAAACACTGTATAAATGTCTGGGGGGGGGGGTGTGGATACAACTACATCTTGTGTTGAACTGTCAGCCAATGGTGTCCTCTTGCACCATTTTGTGATTTGTAATTGCAGTGCCGAAGTTTATACAGTAACTTTTTGATTATATTAAATGAGTTCTACAGGGCTCCCTCCAATAAAAGACCGCTTTGATCAAGGATTTATGGTCATTAGCAGCTTTGGTCTTTAATTAGAAAAATAATCACTATAAAGATAAAGGATTGGTGTTTATTAGGGGTCAGACAAAAGTGGTCTTAGAGGTGGTCGTTAATTGGGGGAAACTGTATTTAATTGAATATTTGAAGTTTTTCTATAATTTGTATAGGCTATCTTGAATGCCTCTACTTAATATAAAAGGTTGGACACATTGCATCGTGATTTAATTTTAAAATATATACGGTAATTGTCTATATGAAAGGGAAATCCTAGATTATAATATAGAGCTCTATACACTGCCGACATTTTGATACTGAACGCACCTTTTAAACAAGTTCCTGGTATTTAAAAGTTATTTTTAGGTTACAGTACATTTGGTTCGTTTTATATCCTGTTTTAATGAAAAGAGAGAGAAAAAATATATCTATTAACAACACAATGTTCAATGTTCACTGGTTTAGTGCAGTTTGGTAGAGTGCAGTGTAGGGCACTTTGTTTATGAAGCAAAAAACAAAACAAATATATATATATATATATATATATATATATATATATATATATTAA